GATCTTCTGTGACCTGGAGTACTTACAAAGAAATTGAAATCTGTGCACAGTTTTTTTCATAATATTTATTTTTCATAATCTTTTTTTTAAAAAAATTAATTCATCAATATACAATGTAGTTGATTTTTATGTCCCTTTATCGATAGAGCTTTTTGAAGATTCTACATGTGTGTGCCTGTGCATGCATGTGTGTGTGTGCATGTGTGTGGTGTTTAGCATATACTCTTTTTTTTTTTTTTCCTAACCAAAAATGAATCCCGTGCATTAAAAAGTCTGGAGGTGGGAGCATTTTCTGACTCTCCCCCAAGCAGGGTCGTGGCCAGTCAAGACCAGTGAGAGCTGACAACTTCTTACCACACAAAACCCAGATCCAAGGTCCTACTCTCTCAGAATTTCATCCTGACCAATGGGCACTCGGCTTGGTTCAGGCCCATTGATGTTGAGCAGTTTCCTTCCCTGAATCCCCCTCCAGGCAGCCCTGGGGGCAGGGTCTTTTCTTCCTCCCAGGTCCTCAGCCCCATCGCTCAGGACAGCAGCTGCTTCCTCCACAGCCCAAGGCCAGAGCTGAAAGCTCTTGGGCAGTGCAAATCTTGCCTTAGCCGTGGCTTGAGGACCCTATTCCAAAACTCTCTAATTTATTCCACTATCTGAAATCCTGTCCTGGCCTTAAACACATAGGCCACATTTCCACCATTGCTGAAGCTACCATTGTCATTGGGAAACTAAAATTGACTTCATTGTTATCATCAGGGCCTGTCTTGTTCCAACCCACCAGATAAAGATGATTGTGTGATCTCTCCACCACATCCACTTTACTTAGAAGCATAGGAAAATNACAGCACATAGTTACATAGATGTAAATAAGAATTAACGAAGAGTAAAAACTTGGTCCCTCAGTTACACTAGCTACATTTCACGTGCTCATTAGGCATGTGTGGCTGATGGCTACCCTATTCTACAGCACAGAAAAAGACGTTTTCTTCATCTTGGAAAATTATTTTGGTCAGTACTAGCCTAAAAAATAACCCTTGGTTGCTCAGAATGTTATAAACCAAGCACAAACCTCATCTGCTGTTAGTCCAGAAGCCCTGGTGGTTCCAGAGGCTTCCCTGGCTGGTGCAGCTGCTCTGGTGCTCAGATATAGACAAAGGTCCCTCTGCTTCTCACTCACTCCTGCCATGATGTCCTGTAGGGACCCTCACAGCCCACTCTCTCTGTTCCAAAACCACATATTTGCCATCTCTTGTGGGTCACAGAATTAGCCCTTAACTGTCTTGTGACCAGTATCTTTACTGAACTTATGGTTACCTGTTAGTCTTTTGTCCTTAAAGAGGTGAACAATTCACTGAGAGAGGGACTATTTCTGTGTTTTCAATGAATCTAGCCTAGTGATGGATGTAGTAGGGTCAGCTTCATGGGTATTGGTAAAAAGACTCACAGTCAACACTCACTGGCAGCCAAAATGAACAATACTGTACTTTGCTATGTAAAAGAACTGCCAGTAGATGGCAAACAATCTCCACAATAGAGAAAAGAGAGCGAGTTGCCTGATGTTAAAATGCTGGGAAAATAAGAGTCATAGTGTCCTTCTATCAACAGAGGAGCCCCTAAGTCTAGAATTGGATCTTCTGTGACCTGGAGTACTTACAAAGAAATTGAAATCTGTGCACAGTTTTTTTCATA